CCCCAAAACCCCAAAACCCCAAAACCCCAAAACCCCTAAGAAATATTTCGTTGCTGTAAAATTAAAAATGAGGCATACAATCTTCACAAAGTCAACATCAATGGATCCTGAGTCCTTGGCTGTAGATAAGCAGGGTATCAAGCCACAAGTTACTAGGAAGGACTTCTTCACAAAGGAGTTTAGTCCTGTGAAAAATGAACCTCAAGATGGCTTCTCAGCTCAATGTAAGACTCCTCTTAATACTAATCTCTTCATTTAGTCAATAAAGTTAATATTGATTTCCAGAAATAAGGAGAGTAGAGATATTAAATCAGTCATGGAGACTAGGAATAAGCTTAAGGCCCAATTCTCAACAAGAATTAATACTCCTATCTTCTTTGAACGCCATGAGAAGATAAAACCTGACACTAAGGATGGCAACAGTAAAGAAAAATTAAAACTTATTATAAAAAATAACATGAATTTTGATGACTCTAAATCAGAGATTATATCATCTCCTAGTAAATAATTGGTAATTTCTTAGACAAGCATCAAGAAGAATATAAAATCACAGAGAATTTAGTATCCTCATCTGTAAGAACCTTGCTCTATTCTAGGCCATTAAATAAAGGGATTGGACTGAGTCCATATAAGTCAGATCAAGAACAGAAAACACCGATGTCACCTCATATGTATACATTTGTCTCACACCTAGAATTGATATATCTCCAAAATTTCAGAAAGCTCTTCCTCAAAAGAAGTCTCCAGTTAGGCCGGTGAGGAAAAATCAGAAGGTGGACATTAATAAGTATAAGATATCGAAATAAAGATGTTATCCTTCATGAGCTCTTATACGGGTACAAGCCTAAAACCTCACGAGAGAAGTTGCCTAGGAGTCGAAGAACCCGAAGCCAAGAGATCTCAAGGTATACAAAGATTATAGTTCCAAAGCCAACCGAAGGCCAAAGAGTGGTCAAACCGGTCTTGTTAGGGAAGGGGCTTCAGATAATTGAAAAGTAAATCCTCGTTGTAAACATAGGCAACGGAAAAATAACCTGAAAGATTTAGAAATGTTTAAGTCAAATTCTGATGAAGAAGTCCTTCCAGATGACGATAGATGTATCAAGAAGATTCTCAACATTAAAGTTGACAAGGACATACAGATTAACAAGTCAGAGTATTCCAAAATGAAATATCTTAAGAAGAAGTTCAAAAAGAAAAAGAGAAACCCGAAGATCTTGAAGAACCAAGCCTTGAGCGACAGGAACCTCAAGTATAAAGCTCTCGTGAAGAGCGAGAGTGTGAACCAGCTTCCACTTAAGATACTGAAGTAAGCATGAGCAGTCAGAATATAGAAACCCTATCTTTGCTCAGAACCGACGGAAGAAGCCAACTGGTCAATTCACTGGAAGGATGTTCAAGAATCCAACTAATTTACCCTTATTTACGAATAAAAGTATCACTTCAGGAGTATTAGGGATTCAGGGAAATCCTCGTAAGAGGAGGAATTCGGTAATTGACACCATGAAAAGCAGGAAGGTAAGCAACTCCTTCAAGTATAGGCTCTTCATGAGAAGCAATCAAGAAGGAAACTGAAGAATTTAACAACTCAGACCTCTCCTGTACCTCATAAAGAAGAGGTTGAGCCTAAAATTGGCAACTATGTAGGCATCCTCTCTCAGTATAGTGTATGATTTTGCATCCAGATGATATAAAGAAGATATCTATTAACCCTAACACAGCCATGAACATGATAGGTAACTTAAGTTACTAACATATAGACTTGGAGAACAAGAAGGTGTATGTGATCCCCAATACTATGAGCTACAAATTTGAGAATATTATGATTAACGGACAAAAGCGAACAAATGTGATGTTTAAGTAATTTTCAACTCTTCAAAACAAACTTGGGGTTTTGGGGTTTTGGGGTTTTGGGG